AGAAAGCCTCCAAATGAAATCAATTAATCCTCCAACCATGATAAATTTCTTAACCATTTAAGAAACGTATTTCAGACTCTGCTGTAACCCTTTATCACCAGACCTAATGGATTACTTTATTAATAATGCACTGCTCTTAAAAGGAATTTTTCCGAAGATTCTACCGTAAGAGAGCATTTTCGGAATGGCTATGACAAACAGGCTGACATGTTCACATTGTATCTATTAAAGATAATAAAATTTAACACTAACTCCAAAGAAGACAAATTATGTTCCGCTGCCAGGGTATCAAGCAACCTTTCTACTTTATTAAACCAAAATTAGAGCAAACTAATTTCCAAGAACCAGCTTCTTCTTTTGCCCTATTACCCAAGCTGAAAAATGTTCCTACACTGCTTGAACACTTGTTATGTCAACCAGACAACCATCACATCTCACCAGCATCTGGGAAGGAAGAACAATGATACCCTATGCAGATGCCTACCCAGATCCTTCAGCTATCTAGTATGAGCAAACACTAAGAAGTATTTGATTGCCTGGCAGCCATACATCTATACAAAGTAGTTTGCTATTAGGCCCACTAACTCCTTTCACCCCTGTTCTTCCCATAGGATGAGTTTGCATTAAATAGAGATCTAAGTTATCAGTGCTCCAACTACAGTACCTTCCTTTTCTTGAAAAGGTTTAGGCAATTACTTTACTATCTCGCAGTACTCTCATGCCTCTGTATTTGCCATTTCCAGGAACAGGGGGCACCTCTAGGAAGACTACCTGTAGCTCCACACTTGGTCAGCTTTGGAGAACATTCCAAATTTTCTTTTTTTCTTCTTCTCCTTTCTGGCCAAACCAAGTCTCATGTTTATTCTGCTGCCAAGTGTGCTCTGGCCTTATTCAGATTCCTGCTTTTACAACCTTCTGCCTCCTCTTCATAAATATATTAATCCATTGCTGTACACTTGAGTCACAAAAGGACAGTCATGAATTAAAGCCAGACCAAACCTCTGAAATTACACCAAGACCACATGCGTCAAGATCAAGCCCTCAAAAAACCAACAGGTAACCCAGATAAATAGGTAAATACCGGGTCTTTGGTGACCTGAATCAAACATTCTTTGAATAAGCTGATGTCTGGGAAGACGGGTAGTGTTTCTTTCTAAATGGGAAGTTAGACAACGATGGACCACAGAGAAGGTCCAAGATAAAGGGACATAGGAGAAAAAAGGAAGGAAAAAGAAAAAAAAGAGAGGCAGCTTCAGGAATGTCAGGCAACAGAAAAATTCAGTTCCATGTCATGTGAGGAAAAAGCCAGCCTGCCATTTCCCCTCCTCTCTCTTTGCATGATTCTTCAACAGGTATATCTGAGAAAGGTATGTTAAAAAGAAATCAAAAGACATCAGCAGCACATAGAACAGCTCTTCTTCCTATATGGCACTATTTCATACTAGGCTTGTGCACAACCTGGACGTGCCTTATTTTTGTACATATAATGCTTTTTATCAACAAAAGCAGACTATCAGGACCTATCTTGCTGGAGGTAGATATCTCTCCGTATCTGTCTACCTATCTATAGGTACCCCCGTATGGCAGCTGCCATGCTCACTTGTGAAGTCGGCCCGAGCTCTGCTGTCCTGGCTAGGGCGCTGTGGCACCATTTCTGTAACTGCCATTATACAATTAATTTCACTGCTTTTCTAATTCCAAATGCTGCTTTTCTTTCCTTCTGTGCAGGTAAGATGGGCTGTTACACAACAGGGAACCCAACTGCTGCTACTAATCCAGTTTCAAATTACCTAATATTCATTGCCCTAAATGCCTCCCATCAACCTAAGACCCGTTCTCCAACCCCAATGCACAACCACCGAGTACCCGTGTTTTTCTTTTCATTTTTAAAGAAACTAAGGAAATTTTTTTAAAATAAAACCCAAGGTTTGTATACGCGTACACGTTAAACGGAGTCCTTCGATATATTATTAACTTGGCCTACTCTTGTGATCTATTTAATCAGAGTTCTGCTTGAAAACACAAAGGATCCGTGATTTGGGGTGCTACTGTCTATGCAAACATCGGGATGAACACACAGCTGATCAGTGTTTTTATAAGTGCACACATACTCAATAATTTGGTTGAAGGATACTATGTCTAGTTAACATAGTACAAGTTAGCTAAAAGGAAACTTTCACCCCCTACACACATAACAAAGAGCCATGATTACTATTAGTGCATTTCATACCATACATGCTGATTACCAGGCTGTGCTTCATTGTTAGCAGAGATTACAGCTGGGATAAGCTGCAGCTTTTTCCTAATTGCTATTATGATGACCGAATTTTTGTTTTGTGTCAAGCATTATTCACACATTATACTCCAAAATTTGATCCCTCCATGATGCATTATTGATTCCATGCAGGCAATCATACCGCAGCCAATGTGAAGAATTAATTTGGGCTATTCTACTTGATTTGCATTGCTCCATCATAGCAGAACATAGTTCTATAGGGAAACACAAATTGAAAAGGAAGATTTAACAATATGGAAAATGCTGCTGTCCTTTAAGAGAGATGTGTCCTAAAGAGGGGAAAAAACAAAAAACCCCAAACCCAGCACAACACGTGTGGTCCAGAAAGAAATAAGGTCAGTCAGTCAAATTCATCTTAGTCAGAGGAAGGTTACAAGAGTAGCCTTATGCCTCTAATAAAGTAAACTAGCTTGCTTCAACTTATATTGCCAAAGAAAACAACTGAACACCTCTGAGAGCGACACTGCTTCAAAGCCTTTGAAACCCTGTTAGCTTCATTTGTTTTCCCAGCATAAGCAATATTCAACCACTTAGCGTGTCTTTTATCCACAGTCCAGTCAACTGCAAAGCTGATCTAGAAGATGTGTAACAGATGCTTCACATCTACTTCTTTTTTTTTTAAACTCTACTGTGTTAACAAAGAAACTTATGAGATCTTAACAGAAATAAAGCCCAGGATTTATTTGACTTTTTTCCCTGAATAAGATTATTTCACAGTTTTAGGATGCCAACTTAATTAGCACAGAATAAATTCAGAAGGGCAAGACAACTTATACACAGGCACTGACCCCACATTGGTCAACCCTTAGTCAAAATTTGATCGAACCTGCATACAAGAGGGCACTGATAATGACACATTTCTGCTTGGTCTCACATTTTAAAGGTGTAAAATCTTTGTGAGAAGTCCATTCACATTTTTTCATTGTCCCAAGTGCTTCACATCAGAACGAAACAAAACCTCACATCCCATCCCAGAAACTAGATTCAAATTCTACACTCGTGAATAAACCAGAAATCAAATGAGATAAAGACCTCAAAGTGCTAGATGTAAAATATTGGGTAGCATTCCCCCCTCACCCTTTTTTGGGAGGCAAGGAGGTGAGAGAGAGAAGAGAAATTTCAGTAGAAGATCTTTGGTTAAAAGTGAGCATCCATCCATTATTTTCAATAATCAAGCCTTCTTTCCTAATTATTCTCCAGTACAGTATTAATTCAGTTTTAAAATACCAGAAGACAGATATGGGTCGGGGAACAAAAATCGTATCGCTCCAACTTATTAGCATTGGGCAGCTTTCAGTACTATTCACAATACATGATTAGCACCAATCTGACACAGGAAAGCAAGTGAATTACAAGGTTTTTTTTCTCATAAATATTTTAAAAAGCAATACATATATTCAAGTAAAATCAATGATACTGCCAAAATACTCCAATTTCTCCAAGCTCTTTGGCTCCCTGTGAAAAGCTGTTTCCTGTCTACAGTCTCGCAAATATTCAGTAATTTCTTCTACTTCCATATGACAACTGCCTATGACTTTTTTTTTTTTAACACTTAAAGACATTTCTGAAAAAAAATTTTAAGATCAGAGCATCCAGCAATACTCCCATTACACAGCACACGTCATCCATTAATAAAGGTGGAATGAAACAATGAGATAATAGCTACAAATGTGCATTAAAAGTTAAGATGTAGTTCCCACTTCCAATACACAAAGTGCCACCAAGGTGGAGGTCTTCGGCAAGAGGCAGCGCCATGAAGGAAGTCCATCTGGATGGCTACAGAAGCGTTCTGCTCTGCCGCAGTTTTAATCTTTGCTTGCAGTGTACAAGCTATGAGGGAAGACCTAAGCCACAAAGCAGCCTTAGAAAAACCTCAGTAAAAAGTTGTGATTAGACTTACCACATTCGTCCTAGAAACCACTGGTGACTGAGCAGTTAAGTTGCACGCCCTGGTAGGTAACGTGCAAAAGAAGGCATCAGGTCATTCAAACTACTAACTAACACTGCCTCTTATTCTTTGCATCAATTCATACCCCTTAGTCATCCTTGATAAGGACTAGTCGGCTTTAAAAAAATAACTATATGTGAAGTCCCAAAATAAGTCAAGCTCTCCTTCAGCTTCATTCATTAAATTACCTCCCAAATGAAGCTCCACTTCTGCCATTTAGAGAAGGGAGTAAATTCTTAGAATAAGCCAATGCTTTTTTGCCAGAGCAGCGTATTAGCTTATTGTCATTATGGTTATAGCTATGAAGAAAAGCTGTGAGAAACAGATATTAAAGGTGCACATTAAAGAGACCCAAATGACATGCAATGGAAAGGAAAGAAAATCTCAAAATTAGATTTACAATAAAAGCTGTTAAAATAAACAGGCTAAAATGGATATATTAGAGTAACTTGTAGAAAGAAAAATCTAAATAGATATAAAAAACCAAAATCAAGCTGTTTCTGCTATGTCCTTCAGCAAACAGAGCCTGGGGCAAACCCTTCTCGACTGGTTCGATCATGCCAGAGAAGAGAGATTAAAAAAAAAAAAAAAAAAAAGAGCAAGCATGCTTTTACCAACACAAGAGGAAAATATCAGCAGCTGAAAGCAGAGCACTCTGATATGCACAGCACACATCTGTTTCAAAACTATTTATTTCTACATTAGCAGCGCACAGAAGACACCAAGCACAGGCTTACACAATCTCAGCCCACCTACCGTCCTCCTTGTCCAGCACCATCATCTCCGCAATCAAGAAAAGTCCGGGGACAGATGCTTCTTCTCCAGCAGCCTCCGCTCAGGGGAGAAGAGAACAAGTCTCTGGGAACACAAATGAGCTACGGTACAGCTGATCGTCCTTTAGCAGCAAGTGAGCTCTAATTACCCAGTTGTCCAGCTTTTAACCTAGATTGCACTCAGTTAGAATTACACTCAGAAATAAAGCACTTTGCAGATACAAAAGCAGTCTCACCTACTTTTGTGCCTCAGAATTGCAAGGAACTAAAACTGCAATTTAGAAAGAAGGGGATCAGAGCTGTTTCTTTGGTTCTCACCTTCTAAATGGCTCAATTTACACAGTATAATCTATTTTAATGTAATTGCATTTGATAGCTCATAACCCTGGCTGTTGCAACTACACAGCTTTCAACCTTATAAAGTGTTTTCCCTTTGGATTTAAGCTGAATCTAAATCTAAAATTATATTCAGAGAGGGTAGAATACCTAAGCCCGACTACTGCTGCCTCTGTCTCTCAATTTGTGAGCTTTGCACACTTGCTATTGAATAAATGCACGTATTTCCCAGGGACCCCTCTCATTCTCCTGTCAGGCTTTCCTGGCGGACTGCAGCCTTCCCAGCTCAGCAGCACCACCTGCAGTCCGGCCCCGGCCCCGGCCCCGG